CAGGCAGGCGTGCACACACCGGCAGAATCACTCAGCTTCCGCATCGCTCTCCCTTCTCCATCTCTGCGTCTCTATCCCTCCCTGCTCTCTCTCCTCTCCTGGTGGATTTTTAGCCTACTGGCTTTGTGGAACACCGGTAAGAAAGATCCGTCTGTGCTTCGGTCTGTCTTTCATCTGTGTGTGTCTGGGTGTCTGTCTCTGGACTGTGTTTTTGTGGGAGTCAGACAAAGGATTGGGGTGTGGCTGGATGAGGAGAAACTGACTGCTTATGGCATGTTTTGAAAGACGAATGCTGCGGATGATGATGATGGTTGTGGTAAAGAAACAATAGGGCAGATATTTGGATAACTAAGTTTGCCTGTGAATTAAAAAAGATCAAATTCTGACTACTGCTGTTCATGTCAAGGCTTGGAGGAGGTGGATGCACAGCATTTGTAGCTCAGGGTAATCTAGAAATGATTCGACATGCTTCTTTTCAAGAAAATGATAAGCTAAGAAATCTGGCCATGTGCCCAGTGTGACTATTTTCTATGTCAAACTGATTCTATGAGGCTCCTTTTTAAATTCAAACTGGTGAGAACGATTTTACAGCATCTTGGTTTGCAAATGACTGGCTGCAGGCTAGTGAAGTCTTGTCACATTTGCACAGCAGCCTCTTTGCACAGCGGTGGTTCAAACAGGCGTGACCAGGCCAGACTGCAAGACAGATGAGTAAGGAACCTGAGGCTAGGTCAGGATTATGACTGCAGAGGAGCCAGTGGAGCATCGCCTCAATCCTGGAGGCTGCAGGGGTGGATGCAGAGAGAGAAAGAGAGAGGGAGGGCGAGAAAAGGTGGAGATAGAGAGATAGAGAGAGAGAGGGGATGCAGAGGAAGAGAACAAAGACCTCAGTCTCACAGAGAGGGAAAAGCAGAGACAAAAGAATGAAGAGACAGCCTGAAAAAAAGATAGGCACATGTTAGCTGCATAGCCATTTTGTAGAGAAGATGGAGCATGTGTGGGAGGCAGCCACCATGTGGACGTGTCTGAGCTGCACAGGTCGTAGCCACTCCCTTTATGTGCAGCTGCTTGAAAAAGATCATTTTAGAAATCAGTCAGAGCCATCTAGATTTTTGACAGCTCTTTTGATCAGCTTAACATTTACAGTCCAAATCGAACACAGATTCATACATGTTATTTGATGCTGCATTATCAGAATGATGTCTGACAGGTAAGGTCAAACCCATGTGCTCAGTTATCATTCTCCTCTTTCGCAGCCGAAATGTCTGACAAGCCTGATATGACTGAGATCGCCCGTTTTGACAAGACAAAGCTGAAGAAGACGGAGACGAAAGAGAAAAACCCTCTGCCCACCAAAGAGAGTGAGTGTCCCTCCTGCATTTCTGAATGATGTTTAATCCTATAACTATTTCCCTGTCAGTAGCTCCTCATCACTTCCCGCGCCGCCCAAAAAACCACACAGCAGGCTGCTCAGCAAGCAGAGCAGCAAAAAGACGCTGATTTGCTGCAACATCAGCAACGTGCTAATGTTGCAGCAACCCAGAAATCAGCATCCCCCCTCCCTCTCTCTCTCCCTCCCTCCCTCCCTCCCTCTAAACATATTCACTGAACATTTGTCTGCTGACCAACACTATCTTCTCGTCTTTTTCAGCCATCGAGCAAGAGAGGAAAGGCGATGCCACACCTTGACTTCTGAGCACAGGAAGAAAAGAAAGCTGAGATGCCACAGCAAAAAAGCACTTTGTTTTGATTATCACAGTATTTCAATCACTTTACTTTGTCTTCAGAAAAAAATGGGTGCTGTGGAGCTCCCTGGGGTGCTGTAAGGGTATATGGCACCCTCACAAGGGGGCTCTCTTGCTACTCGGTTGTAAAAGCTTTAGCCTGGGTGCATGTCTTGCGCAGTTAGCCTACAGCTAACATGTCTCCCCAAATTGCCAAACTAGGAGGTGGTGCTGTGATGTAGCACAGAAAGAGATAGAGAGAGAGTAAGGCAGGCATCCAGGCTGAGGTGGGGGGTGGGGGTCTGCAGACATGGGGGCAATCGGAGTTTAATCATGTGGGATGTTTTCTTAAAAAACTTTTTACTTTTCTTTATGAAATAAATATGAAGACATGGAACCAGTTGATCCTGTGTATTTCTCTGTCTCCTCTTTGTCTATGATGTGCAGACTGCAGACCCTAAACACACACACACACACACACACACACACACACATGAAACATGGACTGATCTTATCTGCGAGCCACAGTTTGGCTGTTTTCTGTTTGCTACACCACTGTCACATGTCAGATAAGGGGGTCACATCCAAAGACATAGACTTCATCACTTTAAGTTTTCACCAGATTTGTGAGATGTCAAAGATTAAAACACGAGCAGTGTCCATATTTAATAATGGTTTAAGATAAAGGGGTCGCTACATACTGTTTATAATAATAATAATCTTATACATATAAGCATAGAACCAAACCCACACATTAATAAATTGACCACATAGCTGTAAGTTGCATGTTTCAATTGCTCAAAATCATTATAAAAAGTGGGGTCCTCTTCTCATTAAAATTGAATCAACAAAGCAGCTGTAGCATCAAGCTTGTGGGTTTTCATTAGAACTGGAATAATAACTATGATTAATTACTTATTATTACTTATTATTTAATCAGTTGTGTCATTTTCAAGCAAAAACTCCAAAGGAGCTGTGGTGTCGTATTAAATATATTTCTGATTATTCCTGTAAATAAAGCAGCTTTACGTGTTGAACTGATTTGGACAAGACATGCATTCTAAAGATGTTACATTGGGCTCATGACAAACTGGAGTTCTCAATATTTTCTGACATTGTGTTGACCTATTAATCAATTACATATTAATGGAAAACTGCAGATTAACCAGTAGTGACAACTGTCTCCACTGAAGCCTATCCCTCGTCATCGTCAATAACTGTATTATAACAATTATGTCAATATAAAGTATTTAACAAAACTTTCACTGAAAAAAGCTACACACTGATAAGACAATATATGTAGTTTATCATTTATTTATTTCGGCTTATCTATTTAAATCAAATGCAACACCAACAGATCACTGTACTGATCATTTATGGCCCTGAACCTCCACCTCACTGGCTGTTGGTGTGGCTGACTGGCGTCACCAGTCCTGCCACCCTCCCTTCACTCTGTCAAAGCTGTCACCTCCTGCGCCTTTACTGCTCCATTTCTCTCACTCTGCGCTGCCATAAATCACACATCAGCGCACCTCGACGTGTCTGAAATGTCTGTTACAACAATTTAATTAACCTGCATTTTTAACCTCATGTTATTTTAAGCACAGTGTAACTAACAAAGGTCCTGACCCCGACGACAGCACTGTCAGGTTTGAGGCTCTGCTGGAATTCACATCAAGGAAAAGTGGCTTTAAGTTAAAAATCCACATGGAGTGTTCACATAATTATTACAGATTTTTTTTACTAATGACAATAACATTCACATGCATTTGACAGTTGAGCCATTTTTACGGATCATCTCAGAATTAATGGTGTAATAGAAAATAAAGGGAATTAAACCTATTTCTTTAAATGCCACCTAACAGCCCAAGTGATGAGAGTTTCGATGTTTAGCGGACCAGTGCAGAAACACGCCCAGCTGCAGAGGCTGCTATTGTTTGCAGGTTATTAACTCATTTAACCCATTAAAATCGTCATTCAGGGACAAATTATGAAGCGTCCCAGGTTGATTTTTAATCGCTCCGTATTATTTCTCGGCCAGGTGACGAGGGGCTCTAGGTTTCAGTCATACTGCAGAGTGAATGTGGGTGATATCTAATTAGTGGGGATTATCCTCACCTCCAATTCACCGCGGACCTCGCCCAGCCGTCCGCCTATTGTCCACGGCGCTGAGTGGAATTGTTGTGTTCAGGGATTTTGAGTGGCTAAATAGGGGATTTGACAAGTGTAAGCAATTTAATAAAATGCTGTAATGTTAATCACTAACTTCTCAAATCATAGTATATGGCAGAAACTACCATGATGACTGGCTGTTGATGAGATAATCAGAAGAATTAAACGCTGGATGATCCTGGATTTCTTTTACGCACATGATCAATATAACCAATCTCTCAAACCCCATCGCGCACAAACATTTTACAGCGCACCCATAAACTAACTTACTGTTTAATGGCAGAAACATTAAAGCTCTTATGTGTTTATGCTCTTGTAAATTCCAGACTGTTTTCGCACCATGTTGTTTCTTGGGGGAAACATCTATTATCCTATTATCACAACGATGCCAATGTCGCCGATGTGTGAGGAAATATTTACATGACTATATACTGTCAGGCCCTGAAAGACTTTATGGCTTTTAGTCGCAGTCTTTCCCCCTGGGACGCTGGTGCCATTTCCCAAACGTTTCCAACTACACATGAGCCCTCACCGCTGAATTCAGTGCACCATTACGCGTAATGTGGGGGGCCGTTTAGAGGACACAAAGTTGTGCAGTGTTTGTGACCTCTGTGCAAAATAAAAAAGTATAATATATTATGTCCAGTGTTTTGTAATAAATGTTCTGAGAAACAATTGCGTTTGCCCACTTGCCTCTTAATAACCCTGAAATGGATTATTGCAGGATATGTTTTATTTCACCTATATGTCCCTATGCCAGCATCATCAATATACTCATATGATCCACATGAGTATATGTTTCTATTCGTGGGGAACATTTACAAGGCTTGAGCCTGGGAAAGACAGGTGAATGAATGGGTGAATGAATGAATGAATGGGGGGCTGTTAAACCGTCTGCGTCATTTCTTTGAAGTGCACTTATTCACCGACGGCTCCTATTTGTCTATAGGACGCGGCAATCAATGTCGTCGTTGGCGCATTTTCACAGTGAAATGTTACCTGCAGGACAAATCTGTCAATCAAAGGGGCAAGGCCAAATAAATATCATCAGCGTGGGGTCTGGCTACAACTTCAGTTGCCTTCTTCTCTCCTGGCATATTCTCATCTGGGATAGAGCAACAGCCTCCGCTTGGAATTCAGCTGCTATGGGACCATTCTATCTCCTCACAGCTGTGGTTCTGTCCATGTGCTGTCATTTTCAGTTTGCATTCGCTTGGTATGTCATTTGTTTTTGGAAGATTTAATTGAAAATATTTCAGTGTAATGTGTGTGTTCTGATTATGGCATAGTGACCTGGGATAAACCTGAATGTTTTGTCTTCTTTATAGGACGGTGAATAATTTCCTCATGACTGGACCAAAGGTAAATACATTCCTGTCTTTTTTTTTTTTTATTTGGGCACGTTGTGTCCTTGTGACATCCAGCTCAAATATATCAGCTTTTCTAATGTAGATGCATATTTTTTATACAATAACAATTAACAATATAATTTGCTTTCTCTCTCAAGGCTTTTCTGACATACGCCAGCAGTGTGCAACTGGGTGCGCAGAGTGGAATACAAGAGTGTAAACACCAGTTCGCCTTGGAAAGGTGGAACTGCCCAGAGAGTACGCTCCAATTATCCACACTCAACGGCCTCAGAAGTGGTAAGACATTTTTGTCTGCATAGCTGTATCATGTGCATAACATAGTGCTGCAGGATGTGTGGTGGTGAGTTTAATTCCAGCATTACGCAGCTTAGCTGATGCGTTCTCGCGTGAAGCTTATCCTTCAATGCAGAGACGGAGCTGGAACTTACCGCACGCTCTCACCTCCATGGAGAAGAGGCACACACATTAAGTTAAAGTCTCTGCTGGAATACACTGAAAAAAGAGCAAAGATACTCAAGAGATTGTCAATAATTCGTCTCCAAAAATGCCTTTACGCATGGTTTACGCGCCTTTTACGCACAGTTTATGAGCAGCTATTTATGGCGTCAAATATGATTGACAGCAATGTGTAACATCAGGGTTTGCTTTCTTTGTCAACTATTGCAGCCACAAGGGAGACTTCTTTTGTCCATGCCATCAGTGCGGCCGGAGTGATGTACACGCTCACCAAGAACTGCAGCATGGGGGATTTTGACAACTGTGGCTGCGATGACTCCAGAATTGGACAGACAGGTAATTTCAAGATGGGTCTGTTTACTGTTGAATGAACTATGTGACCTTGTATTTGTTTCAATTGAATAACATTGTGTATTTCTAATCACCAGGAGGCAGAGGATGGATTTGGGGAGGCTGCAGTGATAATGCGGAGTTTGGTGAGAAGATCTCCAAACAGTTCGTTGACGCACTGGAAGGCGGACATGACTCGCGCGCAGCAGTCAACCTGCATAACAACGAGGCAGGCAGACTGGTAAGAGATCCCATGTCTCATGTTATCAGCATTTACGCACAAGACTACACATGTCAAGAAAGACAAGAAAGGGCACGTTTGATAATAACATTCATAACATTCTCTTCCCTCACTATCTCTGCAGGCGGTCAAAAGCACAATGAGGAGAGCCTGTAAGTGTCACGGAGTGTCCGGGAGCTGCAGCATCCAGACCTGCTGGATGCAGCTGGCCGACTTCAGGGAGGTTGGGAACTATCTGAAGATGAAGCACGAGAACGCAAAGAAACTAGAGATGGACAAGAAGCCTGCGAGGGCTGGGAACAGCGCGGACAACCGAGGAGCCATTGCGCACGGCTTTCGTGGAATCCCTCGCACGGAACTCATCTACCAGGAGGATTCCCCGGACTACTGCCTCAGGAACAAGAGCATGGGCTTCCAGGGCACCGAGGGGCGGGAGTGTCTGAAGGGCAACAAGAACATGTCCCACTGGGAGAGGAAGAGCTGCCGCAGGCTGTGCTACGAATGCGGCCTGCGGGTGGTGGAGAAGCGCATCGAGGTCGTCAGCAGCTGCAACTGCAAGTTCCACTGGTGCTGCACGGTGAGGTGCGAGAAATGCACGCAAACTGTTACCAAATATTACTGCGCGCGTAAAGAAAGCGGGAGGAAAACACATAATAAAACGAGGCGCAGGCACAGTGCGCGCAGGCAGTGATCGCCCTGTGTTACAGAGACTTCTGAGTCAATATGCTCATCAAATTTCAGCTCCCACAAGATTATTGACACCATTAAGCTTTGTACAGATTTGTAATAATGTTATTTTCAACTATCACATTGTTGAAGCCTTTTAATGCACTTTATCTATAATGAATGGATCCTGTATATAAATCAAAGTATCATGAGAGAGAAACATCCACGCATGCTAACTGGTTTATGTTGGTGCTTGGGGGTATTTTCTCGGATTTGTAGCGTTTGTCTTTTGTGATGTCTAAAATTAATATTTTATAGGCCCATGTACTTAAAATGTAATAAATATTTTTTATAATATGTGTGACTCCGTCTGGTTTGTCAGGGATTCCGTTAATAGTATATTAGTGCCCTGGTGTCACAGCCTACAGGGGTAGAAAATAAACTGTCGCCTATAACGCCACCCTTTGAAGTGCGCATAAAGGCGTTTCCTGAACCCGTCAGCCAATCACCTTCCTCGGACCATGAGCGACAAAGCACAAGAGTCCCATTTGTCCTTCATTCATTAAGAGAGAAAGTTTCAGAACGCAGGGTCAAAATAACTGGATCTCTGTGCTTTTGGGGGCTAACAGATGAAAATGGTGCAATTATTACTTTGGCTGCTGGCTCTCTTTTGCAAAATTTGTCCAGGACATACTTGGTAAGATTCTTTCTACTTGCTTGCATCTTTTATATGTTGTTGAAGCTCAAGATGGACTGATCCTCTTTATCCTCTATCTCCATCGTCTCAGGGTGGCCAGTAACCTTCTTATGACGGGGCCTAAGGTAAATAGAGAATTATGATTATTCTGACAGGTTGAGGATAACTAATTTAAAATGTGTTTGGACCAAATATAAGAACTGTCACTGCCTCCCCTGCAGGCCTATCTGACCTACGCCAGGAGCGTGCAGGTGGGCGCTCAGAGCGGGATTGAGGAGTGCAAGCAACAGTTTGCTTGGGATAAGTGGAACTGTCCCGACAGCGCAACCCAGCTCAAAGGCCTGAGGCGCGGTAGGTTGAGATAATTAATTTCTAGTAAAAATGGAAGTTCATCACTGAGAAAAATACATTCGTGCGTAAAGTGTGTCTTGTTTTTTGGATAATACACACGGCCCACAAGCATGTTATGGAGACACTAACATTGGCTGAATGCGGACCCATGAATATGAACGTAGGACTATAACAGATCTGCGTCACATTAATTACACAATACGACCATGATACATGTGTGTACTTTAAGACACATTTGCAGTAACAGTATTTGCTATGCTTAAAAACGAATTAAGGAATTTCTTATGGTAATCTAATTCATTTCTTTGACCTTGATTGGATAAATATGATTATTCATTCCTCCTCACTGACAGCCACCAGAGAGACTTCCTTCATCCACGCCATCAGTGCAGCAGGGGTCATGTACACTCTGACCAGGAACTGCAGCCTGGGAGACCTGGACAACTGTGGCTGTGATGTATCAAAGAACGGAAAAACTGGTGAGGGTTAAAGCCCATATTAATCCGAATATTTCATATGTGACAAGCACGTTTAAACACAAAGCTTAACTCTGATTATATGCATTTCAGTTTGTGCTGTTCTCTGTGGGTTTTAAGTTGGTGATTGGATTTACAGTGATATTATTGCGTGTGTGCAGGTGGTCGTGGCTGGTTGTGGGGTGGCTGCAGTGATAACGTGGATTTCGGGGAGAGGGTTTCCAAACAGTACGTGGATGCGCAGGAGACAGGTCAGGACTCCAGAGCTGCTGTCAACCTGCACAACAACGAGGCCGGACGACTGGTGAGTTATATACACACACACACTAATCACTCATCCGACACTGCACAGCTTTAGGTTGTATTTAATTTACTTTCCCTGATTCCCTGCAGGCTGTGACGGCTACAATGAAGCGCATCTGCAGGTGTCACGGCATGTCTGAGAGCTGCAGCGTCCAAACCTGCTGGACGCAGCTGTCAGATTTCAGAGAAATCGGCAACTACTTGAAGATCAAGCACAGTCAGGCCCAGAAGCTTGACATCGACAAGAAGCGCATGAGGGCCGGTAACAGCGCGGACAGCCGCGGGGCCATCGTGGACGCGTTCGGCAACATCGACAAGACGGAGCTCATCTACCTGGAGGACTCCCCGGACTACTGCAGGAGGAACGTGAGTCTGGGCCTGTATGGCACCGAGGGCCGGGAGTGCTTGCAGCACGGGGACGGTCTGACCCAGTGGGAGAGGAGGAGCTGCCGCAGGTTGTGCCACGAGTGCGGCCTGAGGGTGGAGGAGAAGCGCACGGAGGTGGTGAGCAGCTGCAACTGCAAATTCCACTGGTGCTGCAAGGTGAACTGTGAGGACTGCTCCCAGGTCATAGTGACACATGTGTGCGCCAGGAGGGAGGCAGGGGACGGACACGGCTCCAGACGGAGATACCGTGGACCCAAATGAATGAAACATAAATCCCATGAATGCGTTTTATATGTTACAGCTGTTTAACCTCTGTTTGCACTTTTTCTATCGTTTTTTCCATGTCTACTTGTATAAACACTTGAGTTTCTATTTATGAACACTTTAGATAAATAAATAAAAAATCTAAAACAAGAGTCCTGAGTGCAACGTGTGATTCCAGTCAACTGGAATTATTTCTCTTAATAAATCCAACATGCACACAACTCGCCTGTTAGAATAAGAATGAACTGAATACACTTAACAGAGGATTACATGGATAAACCTGGTGCATTTCACACCTTCACCAAGGTGTTGATCCAGGTTTGATCCACCACCACCACCACTTTGATGTCAATGTGTATTGATTTCATTCTAAAGAGCAGCAAAGCTTTGAAAGATAGGGGAAGTATTTCCACCTTCCAGTTGGAAGGTATTTGGCCTGATAATCCGCAGACAGTCACATCCCACAGGCAAATGCTAATTTCAATACATCAAAGGAAGGGGAAACACATTGACAATCTGTCACAGGAAAAAAAAAAGCCCAAACAGCTAAAGAAACTGGATCTTACTGAGGTCCAGTTGCTACACTGCATATCCAAGGGAAACAACCCTGACTCACATTCCACCATGAATGGGGTTAATTTCTAATCTTATAATTTGCAAGGAATTAGGTCTGAGAGTAGCCTCCCTCCCACCAGCCAATCTGTGTCTGAAGGAGCCATTCATTCCCCCTCCCACCATCCCCTCTACCCCCTGTATCTCCTAAAAAATCTTACTCTCAGCTGGACGTGTCATAAATCTGTCACTGACTCAGCTAAATGAGTGATGGCATGGATATTACCTTCATCAGGGGGTCCATGCCTTGAGGGGGGTGGAGAGGTGGGGGTCTAACAGAAAAGTGGGGCGGGGGGTGGTTACGAGGCTGAATCACAGTCTTTACAGATCAGTTACTGCAGAAGCAGTAAACAACAAGCTCAAGTGAGAGATTACAGCAAACTAGAATTGCACTCTATAGATGACATACCTCCACCGAGGCCGAACAGTCCCACATGATTGTTTTGTTCTAATAGTAAATATAAAGAAAGAAATATTAAATATTGTCTGCATTTGTCTGCCTAGCATAACAAAGGCACCATGCAGGAGCCTGTTACAGCAGCTCCCAATGTGTTCAAGAATTTCTCAATTTGGGATCAATAAAGTACTGTCTATCTATTTATATAGACAGAATTAGTATATAATAACATGTGCAAATTACCTACATGAAAATAATAAAAGAGAAAAAAATATTGCTGGATCTAACCCTTGATGCGCATCCACACAAAATGTAATGAGTTCTTCAAAGAGCCAGGCCTATTCTCTAAATACACCAAGTTGATGGAAATCAGTAAAGTAACAAACAAACAAACAGGTGAAAACATAAGCTTTAAAAAGTAGGTGACTAAATTGTAGATCATCTGGAGTCACCATATCGAGAACTGAAGCAACACTAAAGTCAGAAAAGTCATGATTGGGTTTAGTGACTCTCCGAGTGCATACATCCGAATTTCACACACTCAAAGATATTAGTTCCCTAAATGTGCCTCATTTGTTTCACCACATCCATCTGCAAAGTTTTGTGTCAATCCATCCAGTAGTTTTAGCGTAATCCTGCTAACAAACAGACAAAAAAAAACTAAAAACTTGACTTACTTGGCGTAATTACAACATAAAATGGCTCATATCTCAGGCCAAACAATCCCACGCATGATTGTAGAAATTTGAAAGAAAAAAATAAAGTGGTCTGATAACAGTATTTGATTTATTGGTTATAAAATATAGTTAAAGAAAGAATCAACATCCAAACCAAAATATGGTTCCCAGGCCCCCATCTAGCCAACTTTGGTAGAAATGAGTTCAGTAGTTTTTGCCTAATCCTGCTAACAAATAAACAATCAAACAAAAACAAGCGTGACACAAGCTCTATTATCATTTCATTAGAGATCTGGGGTCAACACTTCCCGAAGAATAAAAGCAACAATTTGGTCGAGGAAGCTCCAGTTGGGTCAATACTGCTTGTAGTCTTTAAAAGTTGACATCAGCCCACTAGCACTTGTTTAAGAAAACACAAGAACTATATAATAAACAGACCAAACTCCTAATAAACGATGGGTATAGGGGTGAATGTATTTTGAAGGAACAGGTAACACCCTCACAGACCTGAACCCTCACTCCCATCCTTCTCCATTTGTCTGTTTGCTCCTGGGGACGTCCTGTATTTCCCATGCTATCCTGCTGTGTGTTAATGAAGGTTTAGCTCCACTGGAGGCCCCTCACTGCTCCGCCCCTTATCTCAGCTCTCCACTGGGTACATTATTGGTTCCATATTGGCCCCATATGATGCAAGTGAGATGACCACATCTGTTGTCATTCATTTCTGCTGGAAAAAAAACCTTTTCCTATAAAGTAGAAACATTTAACAGTAACGGTTTTAAAGCACTATTTTATAAAATGTTCAGGTTTTTAATATTATACAGTTTTAGGATTATTTACGCCTAAAAGTGGCTTTAGAGTGATCATTTTCATCATTTTCCTGCCTCCACTACAGTGGCAGGATTGTTGTCTTCCATTGGGGGTATGTTTCCCAATCAGGACAGAAGAGGAAAACAGTGGGAGGGTGGATGATCGCCTACAAGGACCCCCCAGGAGGAGTCATGTATTCACCCAGACATGCCTGGGGTCTTGGGGGGGGGGGTCTGAGCGTGATTGATCATCCCCTCTTCCCCTCTCCCCCTCTCCCCTCCTCTCTCACCTGGGTGTGAGATGCCAAGAGGCCTGACACAGGACAGGCTGCGGCTGGGATAC